AATTACAAAAACATGCAAAACGACTGAAAAGGGGACAAAATCACCACACACAAATTACTATAAAAAGACCAAAACTATTAGCCTACAAAGTTACACAAATCAACTACAGAGAGATGCAAAACCACATCAAAAAGAGGCTAAACAGCTATGAAGTGTGCGTGTCTTGAAACGTAGAGGTGGTGGTCGGCCCTTTTGCATATCCAAGGGTCGCATCGTTTCATAATCCACCCATGCAAACAAGAACCTTTAAGCCGGGGAAATACTCGTTGCACCTTGACATCTTTGGATTTGATTCCTCTTCAACAACAGATAAAACCACATGGATTGCATTGCTTTTGATCGGCTGCCATTCAGGGATTAGCATTTAACATTTGGTTAAGTCTGGACGGACGTTAACATCTTACATAACTCCAGGAAGTGTGATGTTCCCGCTGTGCTTTAGAAAGCGACAGACTGATGGGTGAAAGCTCTCAGATCGAGGTCCTGACCTGCGACGTCTGTACGCTCTTTTTTTGAGACCTTTGTCTTTAATCGCCCCCAACCGATACCGGGAAGATGTTAAGCCTTCGATCGATTCAGCGCTGTGCTGGCACAACTATGGCTGAACGCTTACATTTCAACAGGGATGATGAACAGATAAGCAACATAAAGAAAAGGCTTCGAAAGCTTTTTCTTTTGTCTCTCGTATCGGCTCATATCACTCAAGTGCAGATATGGTGAATGAAACATGCAAACGTTTTGTGTGAGCAAGAATGAAGCACGTGCTAGCTGTGTTTGATAAGTAGACTGAGTACAGTTGAAGTGAAGCTGTCACGCTGCTGTTTGCATGTTTGTCTATCATGAAAATATCTCATAGTTCATATCAGATTCACCAGCTAATTTCAAGATCTCTTCTTTATCTTGAGAGGCCTAAATATCACATCTTATTTCTTCTTACCAAGCCAATTTCCACTTGTTCTATTGACAGATTTGTTTTACTTATTAAAAGCAGAAACACTTTGTATTTGTTGTTGTTAACTTGTTTTTTACAGTGTAAACATCATTAATAAATGGTAAATTGACAGTTAATTAAACCATCTATAAACAATATCTGGATGGCTGTTATAAAGCTGCAACTGATGATTATAATACTTTATGAAATGGTTAGTAAATATATTACAAGTTGTAGTGGCGGCTGGGTAACAGATTTTTATATACTCAGCGCTAAAAATGACTGAAAGGGAGACACTACGGGCAAAAACATCGTTTTTCATTCAATTTAGAGAAAAAAAACATCATAGATACACATTAAGGTGTTTATTTTACTACTTAGTTTATCTATTCTTCTAAATTCACCAACATTTCCCATTAGATAATGCCTAATTTGCATATTTAAACATTACATTTAGTTAATTATTTTACCCTATTCACCTCTAGTGTCTTCAAAATGTCTATAATTTAACAAAACATATCTTTAAAATGAGTTTGTTCTCAGACTCTGATCCATAAATCTTCACTTCAGCAGCTCTTACATACACCAAACTTTACACTTTCATTCCTCTCTGTGTGCTGAAGGTTCACACAGAGGGGTTTGTTCACACATCATTCATAGTCTGATTTATACAACATTACATTAATATAAACATGGGGAATTTTTTTTGTGTTGATTTTCTGATTAGTGACAAAAAGAGAGTTCTGTAAAAAGCGGTCTCTGATTATTCCACACATGCGAGTACAGCTTGGTGCAGTTTGAGCTGCCAGCACCTCGACCGAAATAGATCCCGTAGCTCTGAGAAGTCTCCGTGAACGTGGACAGAAACCTGGAGCTCAAAGTAATCCCGCTACTTCTGAGAAACCAGCAGAAACCGGAACGCATTCATAAAAAAAAAAAGAATTTTAAAAAAGGTGTTGAATATATTATGTAACTAAGACAAACTCCAGAGCATCGTCTTCATCCGCTGCAGATGGTGACATATCGTTTGTGAATAACATTTTGATATTTAGAAGTATGGCATTTGTTTCACAGGTTTTTTTGTACTTTATTGTTATTATTATATTGTCATGTTTTATGATTCTGGGTTTCTTGCGTGAATCATACCGTCACTGAGCTTGTGTTTGCCTCTTGGTGTGCATGATGTACTTCACAAACATTGTGACAGGACGAAGGATCCAAGTAGAAATCAAAACGTCGTCATTGATGAAATGTTCTCGGCATGGAGTCGTGTGCAGGTGTTGTGTTTTCTTCTGATAACCTGTTCTTTATTTAATGTTCTTCAACTCTTAAAATGGATCTGTGTCATATTTACACACACAGCTCTTGATTTTGGATCCTTTCTCATTTTAATTCCTCATGTGTTCCAGTAAAGAGTGACCAAACAATATGACTGTAGATGATCAGCTGAGAAGCACTTGTCTTACTGCAGGTAAATGAGGCTTCATACAGATTTAAGTTGTTCTCAACAAACAAGAGAAGTCATGAGTAAGCTTCGCCTCTGCCACCATGTTAATAACATCATAATTCATTAATACATTATTTGACTTGTATCTGACCCGTTTGACAATACGTGTTCACTCTATAAAATATATCAATCAGCCTCATTTATGTTTATTTGTTTTTCGTGTTCATAATATTAAAAGAAAAACAAAACAGTTGAATCTAGTAAAATGTAAATGAATGTATTCATTTGACCCAACAAGTTCACCAATGTGATGAATGAGAGAGAAACAGTTTGATCTATTATTTATTGACAATAATGAATATAAAACACAGGTTGATTTGGGATTATGATTTGGGACGCCCGTAGAGATTATGCATTTGGCCGTGTGTGTGTGTGTGTGTGTGTGTGTGTCCACAGCTCATCTCTCACACAGCTCGACCCCTCAGCCTCGTATTTTCTGTTCTCATTTATGACTGTGCTCAAGCCCCTCTTGTGGTTGCGATGATGAACTTTTATTTAGGTGATTGTTTTATTCCGTCATTGACTGCTGACTCCTGATTAACCGGCCGGTGATTAACTGCTTCAGCAGCAACAGTAGCATTCTGGCTCAGGTAAAAACGAGCCGGACCTATGTGTTGAAGGCCACACTTTGACCTTTGTCACGTCAACATCTGCAGGTTATTCCATAACCAATATGTTATAATCCACTAAAGTTACTCACAAGAGATGAATAAATCCCTGCGTTTGTTATCGTCGCCGCTATCTTGATTGTAACGGACAATTGAGTGAGATTCAACCTTTCTTTGTTTGGGAGAAACACTTGAAAGAGATTTTTACAGTTGATATTACCAGTATTAATATCATTATCTCTGTCATTATCAGAGGCATAACATATCTGGAATATATATTTAAATATAGCTCATGTTTGTATAGAATGCATTGGCAGTGGACGCTCTGCTTCGTATTAGAAAATAAATCATCCTGTTACTCTTACAGCACTATAAATAAAAGCTGGTACATTTAGATAGTGTGGACATTTAAAATGTATAATTATTAGCAGTTTATGTATATATTTTGTTGTCAATAGTTTGACGGGTTTTTCAAATGTTTTAAGCAGAGTTTTTACAAGTATAGTCTCGACTGAGTCTCGATATAGTCGATGTGATATCTGACAGATTTCCTGAATTTCCTCAGCTTCCTCACAGAAGGTGAACTCCAGGCGACGCATTGGAGCATGAAACAGTAAACCACTTATAAAGCAGTTTAACCCCGTGTCACGTAAAGCCTCTTTTATATGAGGTCACTCTCACCTTTGTGTTTGTCCTACAACCAGCGGAGACTTAGGAGGAGTCAAGATGTTACACTAACCCGACGCGGTCTGTGTTCCCAGTATGAAATGATAAATATGATATCTGAGCAGCTGAGGGGGAAGTTTAGAGCTGAAACTCAGTGAGAATGTCTGACCTCTGACCCCTCACGTGATCAGCCTGATGAGACATGATTAACTCCAGAAATTGTTCGTTGCTCAGCGCTGACATTTAACCTCCTGGCAGCTATTTCCAACGCTGCCCGGGAACTTTTATTTAAAAAGCTGAAACGCATTCTGTCTGCGCCTGTGGATATTTGTAAGCTGGCAAATAAAGAAATGACAAAATGAAATGCTGGCGATACGTGAACTGAAACGAGAGAACAGAATACAAAACTGTCCAATGACTTGCCCTTATTGTGTTCATTTGCATCCTTTGATATGAATCACGGACCCGTCTGGTTGTTACATGTTTCCTTTTGACTATTATGAATGCACAAGTCATCCAATTCTTCACTTCATAGTTCCTTAATTGCTTTATCCTAACATGCTTCAAGCAGTTAGGAGGCCATTGGTAACAAAGGGGGCAACTGAAATCACTCAAACAGGCTCAGAATCAGCCCCAGACAAGTCCGAAAGAAAAGCCTGAACCACTACAGCAGGAGGACGAGGAGTGGCTGATATGTATGTGCTGAGCTTTAATGGGACTCAGGTGTGTCCTGATGGAGGGAAGGAGCAGGTGCATCTGGAGAGCTCCGTGATGAATGAGTTTGAATGAAGGTTGTGATGATGAAGATTGCAACTTCAAAGTGTTTCCGTCAACTGGAGGGAGTTGTTTGAATACAGTTGGTTTTGTGAGGTATAAACACAATGTTCATGGTTTGAAGAGCCTGTACCTTAGTGCTGTTAAACCACACGGGTGTTTCCACTTATTTAGCCGAATTAGACGCCTTCTGAGGACTGGGTGGAGGTGCAGTTTGATTGACAGGTCCCTGTCTTTATGATACAAAGGCAGGGTCTAAAGGGAAAGTGGAAACAAATTTGGGAGAGGGTTGTGATGCGACTGTGCTTATGTTACTAGGGACAACATTTTATTCATTTTTATTTAAAAATAACAAATTTCCCACAGTGTTGGGCTTCAGGCGGTTTCTTTTTTTTTTTTTTTTAGATTATTTCGCTGCCCTTTATATTTCGAATCGCACGCAAGACCCGTGAACCGTTTCCTGAATCAGTCACGTGGTACGGCCGGTCAACACAAGCCTCGACACGCACTTCACAAAAATCCTCCTGGATTACTCGACACGAGCTTCGAAGCCTCGACACGAAAGGTCACCACAACAGACAGGTAATGATGCATGCGTGACCGGGCGATCACGCGGTTTTTACCGCAAGCAAGACACACCAGAGGGAGACCAGGAGGATAAGTTATATCTCTAATTAAACGGGAACCTCACCCGAAAGTGAAAGGGCCTGGAATCTCTTTGTTGAAGCGAGTAAGAAACACGATCTTCTCCCGCACCCAGCCGAGGGGCAAGCTGCTGGAATCAGTCACTATAGTGGGTTTCGACACACTTTACTTTACTAAACTATAAGTACTAGACATCCTGGTCCACACTCCATACCAGTTGGTGGCGGTAATGCGCCAATTCATTGTTTGCCAAACGCCAATAAACCTCAAAAGAAGAAGAAGAAGAAGCCGCTCAAATCTCGCCACCGGTTGGGCGGCGAGGCACACGCACAAAAAAAAAAGAAGAGAAGAAGAAAAAACTCATATTTTCTATTGAGCGGCTCAGCGGGTGGGAGTTGTCTGTCATTGAGCGGTGCTCGCGGGGGTCATTTTTTCGGTTTGTCCCGGCAGCTGCTGGCTGGTGCTCATGGGAATATTTCCAGCTTGAAGAAGAGACAGTGAGCCAGTATTTTGTAACAGAATGGTGTTAAGAAAAAGACTAAAATGGTGCCTTTTGTAGTTGGAGTATTGACGCTGCCGGTGCCTTGTAGCTGTAGTGAAAGTTAGCTCATGATTAGCATCACGTTAGCATACTAGCTAATGCTAGGACGTCCGGTTCCTTTTGGTTTATTGTTTTATTCTTCTCTTTTGTAAAGAAGGGCTTTTGTAGCTCTTTTGCTTGCTGATATTTTTAAATTTTATTTTTGTTTCCTGTGGTGAATAAGGCACTGAAATGAAGAGAGTCAACAGCTGTCAGAGGTTTGTGAAATCCAAAAAATCTCAGTTTTATAAAATCATGGGTTTTTTTGGGGTTCTCTAATGTGACGTCACTCGCTCATGTCAGTTGTGATTAACTAATAAAGTTAGTTGAACTCGTTCTTCCACGTCACGTTAGAATAACACGAGTTGTTGTTTTTAGCTTTACTGGTATATTAATTATATGAACAAAAGGAATTTAAAATGAATGCAGTTTTTAAGATGATTGTGCTCCAACTTTCACATAATAATGATTGCTAAAAATGTATTTAACTAGCCTGAAATCAACCAGACACTGATGGGAAATGACTTTTAGATAATTCATAATAACAATAATAGCAGTGGTTCTTGATTATCTTGGTTAAAAACAGAAAATGATATTACAAGTCACTATTATTGTACATAATTAGTTTCAAGGTAAAGATTAGAGTCCGGTGTTTGTTCTCGCTGGTACTTCTTATCTGCACCTTCAGAGCTCTTGTGGTGTTTGTTTTTGTGATTATCTACCTATCACACTTTATATCCATTAAACATTTACCCGTGTGGGTTTATTTCCTTGTAATATAGATATCCATAAATCGGTTCTCTTTGGGAGTTGCACCGGGTTGAGTGATTGTGTATTTGTGTGTTTCAGGTTCATGAACAGACGGGCCTCTGCAAACTGCCGCTACCAGCCCACCTACTATGAGCACGCTGCAAACTGCTACACCCATGCAGTGAGTGGCTTAGATTCATGTTGTTTTACTGGAGATGAATCCGTCTTTTATTCAGAGTTCTAGCTCTGAAATGATTGCAGTAGGCTGGAATATCTCGTGTGATGTTTTAATGGTTTTGTTCCGTGTAGTTTCTCATCGTGCCGGCCATCGTGGGCATGGCGTTGCTGCACCGTCTGTCGGACAACGGCTGGGAGAGGATCACGGCCTGGGTGTACGGCATGGGCCTGTGCGCCCTCTTCCTGGTCTCCACTGTGTTTCATATCATCACCTGGAAGAGGAGCCACATGAGGTGAGGAGCAGCACGACGACAACGACGAGCCACCATGGTCGCAGAAAACCAGAAACAGTCTCGTGTGCCAGTTAAAGATACAGTGAATGAGGACTCAGTCAATAGATACAATCGACCCTTTTGGAGAATTCACAGTAAAACAGGGCTGCAAGGAAAACAGTCAAATGTCCTTTTAAAATCATATGTTGTCGTTGAAAATCACTATTTTCCTTTAGCTGTGAATGTCCTTCGATGTCGTCCTTTGCACCCTCAAGTAAAGAAATGACCTGTTTGTTTGTTTCAGGTCCATGGAACAATGTTTCCACATGTGCGACAGAGTGGTCATCTATGTCTTCATCGCTGCCTCCTACACACCGTGGTGAGCGTCGCACAGAGGACACCTCATACTCGGAGGGTCTGGAGTGGTAAATGAAAGCCTGATATCGACGCTCATGTTCTCTTCTTCTGCTTTCTACTCAGGTTGAACCTGCGTGAGCTGGGCCCTCTAGCAGCTCACATGCGCTGGTTTGTGTGGCTCATGGCTGCTGCTGGAACCGCTTATGTCTTCAACTGTCATGAAAAGTGAGTTCCTATTTGATGTTTGGGAATTCAAAAGTCTGATCAGACGTCACTCATATGCAAATGAGGGAATATCTAACGCTAACTTTTGGTAAATTTAGGAGAAATCTACAGATGCAAATAGACAGAAGTAGTAAGTTACACACCTCAATGTGGAGAAGTGAGTGTGGACTAAAAGATTAAAGGGCAAAATAGCCCAAAATCTCCACAATAACCAGTGAGGTTGTTTTTTTTTGAAGTTTGTTTAGATTCTGTAGATTAGTGGAGGTTTTGAGACCAGCTCGGTGACTTTTATCAGTTTCTGATTTCAGTGTTCGTCGTCACTTCAATAACGAGTTTGTCACAACAGAGACTTTTGGCAGCCGGTGAAAGAAGAAGCTGATATTTCTCATAACACGTCGTCTGTTTGTCTCTGCAGGTACAAACTTGTTGAGCTGGCCTTCTACTTGATGATGGGTTTCCTCCCCGCGTCAGTCGTGACATCAATGGTAACATTATCATTTATGAATATATTAACAGTCGCATTTAATTAGCATGTTCATGATCAACACGTGTTATGAGTGTTTTTACTTCCTCTTCTGTTTCACAGCAGAGGGAGGACTAGTTTAGTGCTTCTATTAATAAACGTATTGTGATTAATATCAGAAAGTGTACTACGCATGCAGCACATTGTGGCATTAAGTCTGCAACAAATATTGTATTTTTTAGCGTCGTGCAAAGTGGAAGTATTGGTTCTATGACGCTTTGCAGGAGTTGCTCTCCTTGATAAACACAACGGAGCTTCAGCATGTTGAATCTCTTTACTCGCTGCTGCCCTCTTGTGGTGGTAATGAACATAGCTGCCTTATGTGCCATTAAAGGAATACTGAAGTCTCCTTGCAACACCTGCATCTTCACAAACTGCTGACTATTTAAAACACTTCTGGCTTCTTATCCCGAAGAGTTTTCAGTCGATTGTAAACAAAAGACAGCTGGGAGAGTTTTAGTGACGTCTCCTTTCCTTTCCCTCCCTTGTCCCGTGCTTCCTTGCAGAGCAACACAGAGGGCCTTCAGGAGCTGGCCTGCGGCGGACTCATCTACTGCCTCGGCGTGTTCTTCTTCAAGAGCGACGGCGTCATCCCCTTTGCCCACGCCATCTGGCACGTGTTCGTGGCGCTGGCGGCGGCCGTGCACTACTACGCCATCTGGAAATACCTCTACAAGGCTCCCAGCGCGGATGCCCTCCTCCAGTTGTGACCACGGGGCCTGGGCGCGGGGGTGTGTGTGTGTGTGTGTGTGTGTGTGTGTGTGTGTGTGTGTGTGTGTGTGTGTGTGTATAGATGCATACATACACGATGGCCGGTATCTCCACCTCTTAACCCCGCCTGCACACCGACTCCCAGCAGCGACAGCCGTAAAGTTTACTCAAATAATGACCGTGAATTGTTTACTGTTTTCTAACGGGGGGGGGAGACAGATCAGTGAGTCAGCGTCTCCCTGACGAACTAAAAGCTACTTCCACAGCTGTTTTGTACAACTGGACAGTGAGGGAGGAAGATTAGACTCTCTATGATGAACCGTGGCACATTCAGTATTTGAGGGATTTGATAGAAAGTGTTTTGTATCGTTCTGAAGGAAGTCACAGTCCACATTTGGATGATTTATTTTTGGGGGGGTTCATCCATTTGAACACTGGGGATCACTGGAGTGAGGTGCTAAGAATCCGATGTTATCAGGAGCAGGGCTGGGTGTCGTTTCAGCACCGAAAACCAAAGATTTCAAATGTTGTTTTCTACACGTGTATAAAAACTTCTGAGACACATTTAAATCAGGAACTATCGGATCAAAGATTAAGTTTGAATCTGACCAGATATTTGACACCAACTGTTCATGCTCTGTATCAACACGTGTTGATGCTGTTTGAACCCAGCCCTCAGTAGTTCAGACACATTTAAAGTCTTTCAAGTTATTTTCAAGGAAAGAAATGATTATTTCGTTTTTCCATCTTTTTGTAATGTTCTTTTTACAGTGATTACGTTGTGAACCCATCTGATCCACACAAACCTTTTGGACCAATGCTTTGTCTTTCTGTCCACATGCAGTCCTCAGGGATCAGGCATCCACACTTCCTCCTCGCTCAGTATTTAGCGCCCCCTGCTGGTGACCTGGGATTTAGATAAATGAGCCAAACGATGAGAGAAAATCAGTTTCAGGTAATGCGAGGAGAGAGTAGTTTTTCTTATTAGTGTGAACAGTAGCGTGAGCATGCTCGACCGTTGTACTGTAGTCCGGTGTTTCATTCCCACTGTCTCCTTCCATCTGTGCAGAAACCTCATCTCTTGTGTACGTTTGCTTCACGGCTCTGTTGCTTTCCTCTTAGTGGAGCTGAACGAGTGCATATTGTGGCTCTGGTTAAATAACCACTGTGTGTTTTGTAATGTTTGTATATTCTGTTTGTTCTGCTGATTTAATGATCCTGGCCTTTTGCAGGAGGGGAAAAAAACAAAAAAAACTGCTGCTTTTTTGTGTTTTCCATTGGGTGTTAATGGTGCTGCTGCATATGTACATGAATGCCCCCCCCACTATACTGAGTATCACCTTTCTAATGTGACAATAAAACATAATGCCCCACGTCTGAGCCTCATTTAAACATGGACTGTGTGTTTAGAGACGTTATTGTGCTGCAGTGACTAAAAAGAAACCGAATCCTTCGAGTACCTTTTCTGAAAAGATAATGTGTAAAATCTATAGAAAGAGGCTGTTTGTCCAGATGCACTCTGGACAATTCAGTACCACTAGATTTATTTAATTTGTTTTGGATACAGTTGGCTAGCACCTTATTTAAGTCTGTTGTCCCTGGGCCGGTAGACTAACAACAAATACACGATGTGAAACAATAGGCAAGGCAAGTTCATTTGTATAGCACATTTCAACAGCAAGGTAATTCAAAGTACTTCACATAAAAGCATCAAAACACTTTGTTCCAGATATGTGGAGCAGAAACACTGAACGCTGCTTCTCCATGTTTAGTTCTGACTCTGGGAACAGAAAGCAGACCGGTCCCAGACGACCTAAGGGGTCGGGATGGTTCATAAGTAGCAGAGCAGAGATGTATTTTGGCCCCTTGGATTTTGTAATAGTCTTGATATGGCTGCTCAGGTTGAGGTTTGTGTGTCGTCTGCATGATCATGATAACACACTTGAAAACTGTTGTTTTCCATAATCTGAGCTAGTGGAAGCATGTAGATGTTGAACAGAAGAGGCCCCAGTATTGAACCTTGGGGAACACCGCATGTCATTTTAGTCAGCTCTGATGTGTAATTAGCTACAGACACAAAGTATTCTCTGTCCTTCAAGTAGGATTCAAACCAGTTGAGTGCTGTGCCAGAGAGTCCCACCTAGATTGTTAGTCTTTCTAGTAGTATGTCATGGTCGACCGTGTCGAATGCAGCACTGAGATCCAGTAATACTAAGACTGAACTTCTGCCATTGTCTGTGTTTAGGGGATGTCGTTGAAAACCTTAACAAGAGCAGTTTCAGTACTGTGGTGCTGTCGAAAGCCTGACTGGAAGACATCAAAGCAGTTATTTACGGCCAAGAAGTTGTTCAGCTGTTGAAAAAACACTTTTTCAATTATTTTACTTGAGGTTTGATATTGGCCTGTAATTGTTCATTGTTGCGGAGTCTAAATTAGCCTTCTTTAGGAGTGGTTTAATAACTGCAGTTTTTAGGTTCTTGTGGGAAGACACCTGAGAGAAGATCAGTGGTCATGCAGTTTGAAATATTTTTGAAAAAGTGTGTTGGTAGAATATCCAAGCAGCAGGAGGATGACTTCAGATGTCGTATCATGTCTTCTAGGCTTCTAAGGTAGATTGAATGAAATTGTGTCATGATATTTAGAAATAGAATAGTAATAAATAGAATCACTATGATAAATACAATAAATCTTTGCTGGTGGTGTCGACTTTAGCCAAAGCTTAAGGCTGGGTTTAAACACTAAAACCAGCCTTAAGCTTTGCAGTGTTTAACACCAGCATTCAAATATGCACATGCTAGTTCAAACACTAGGCTTCTACTGAATTTAGACAAATTATCTTTAGCACAGAAACCAATATTCTGTTTGTCAAAGATTTAAATTTGTAACAAACCGAATTTCCAACCAATATTTGTCAATTTCTGGCTGTTTAAACTTTGCTTATTTACAGATTTACACATAACAGAAATATCTAAAAGAAAGATTAAACTAAAGTAGAGCCAAATATGAATACTTTTCACAGACTCATACCTAGCTCTGGTGATAATTAGACTTTATCAGTTTCAAGAATGTGTAATTTATATTAAAAATAAAAAACAACCTGCATGGATGAGCAGAGAAAGGAGACACGGCGGAAAATAATTGGGATTTTTATTAGACACTACAAATTACAGAGAGACGAAGAGGCTGAAGACTCAGCAGCACACACACACACAAACACAAACACGTCATGCATCCGTTCCATGACAATCGAGACCGAAAACACACCTTTACGTCGTGTTTTTACACTCTGAAACAGTCCGCTGGTGTTGCCATGAATACAATGGTTACAAGTCTGTTGCAATGTCCAAAATAAGAAATGAGGAGAGTCGTCAGTGTTTATAATAATATATAGTTGTGTTTGTTTTTGATGCACTAAGAAGCCCTTCAGTGCAGATGTGAAACTATCCATTGCTGAGAGACTGGGGAACACTCAGTGTATTCAAGGCACTGGAATAGACTCAGAATCATTGGCTTTTTCCTGTGTGTGTGTGTGTGTGTGTGTGTGTGTGTATATATATATATATATATATATATATGAAATAAAAAAACTGCCAAATTAATAAATAATTTATATAACAACTGAACGTGAAATAAATTTTTCAATTTGGCAAAAAATTTAATTTAATAAATTAATTAGAATAAAAACTTGTCTTTTACATTTGAATTGTCCTGATTTTAGCATATATCTGAAAAAAACCCTAAATGGACAGTCGTTGTGCTAAGCTAATCGGATGCTAACTGTAACTTCATATTTAATGCACACTGGGGCTGTCACAATATATCAATATAATAAATAGATACTACTGCGGTTAGTCAAATTCACTTTATGGCAAATTAATGACTCAAAATATGAGTGTAGGGAGGTGGAGAGAGAGTCGGTTTAGCTATGAAAACAAATATTATCCCAAAATGTCCAACTATTCCTTTGGATTACTTAACATTGGCAACTTTGGACTTCCATACCAACGATCAGAAACGTCAATATCATCCCTCAAAAAACAGGAATCGGCCGTCAGTCTTGGACTGATTGTCAAAAAGCAGCATGCAGCTCTACACTACAACAGGAGTAGCGTCCATCACTCAGGTTCAGGGACCAATCACAGAGCAGCAGCAGAGTAACCAGCTATAGACTTCCCTTCCTTCATAGTAACTTCAACCCGTTAAATCAGATCAGAAAGAAACGACTCACAAGCTGCGTGGTTTAAAGAAAAAGGAAAGAATATTCACCGTTGTTAGAAATGTCAGGACGTGTCGGGGGCGAAAGTCACAACACTAAACAAGACGAACAAAAGAGTTTGAGTTGATATTTAAAAAGTGCCCGACTACATTCTCTCTTCTGGACCGCATTTGTCACCATCTGCTTCCTCAGAGTTTAATGGGATTTATATGGGAGCCTAAAGGTGGCGCCAACACAAGCAGGAGTGTTGTCATCATAATAATAATAATAATGCCCAGGAGGTTTGGGTGCTGCTGAACATCCACATATCTGTAAAACTACCACGTCCTAGTTTATATATAGAATATCAAAATACCACTATATGTCTTTTGAGTTATATATATATATATTTGTATTCTTTAATAATATTCTGGATCTGTTGTGCCTTTTAAAATACATAGTTTAGTAATGTATAGAAAAAATACTGTACAAAAAGAACAACTTATAGAATAAGTTTCATATAAACATATCTCTTGTAACCAATATATCATCTCTGTTTGTTAATCGTTTGGTTAACCACAGTATCGGACAACACCATCACACGTCAACATCTGTTACATTCATACAGCCATCTTTAAAAAAACAAAAACCATAGAGCAACAATGAGAGACTACAGACATCTGTACTGATTTCTAAAATAAAAACACTTATATTAATCATGCAAACGTTAAACAGAAGCAAAAATAATCAACAACTTTGCAAAAAAAAATAAATTAGCAAATTTTCATCCTGTGAAAGAAAATCATGCTTAAATCTGAAAACAAGGGAGGAGGCTAAACGACAAGTAGTATTAATACTAACAATTAATTCAACAGCGCACACACACACACACACAGAGAGAAATAAAAGGTCGATAAATACAAGGCGGGGCACATTCTTTGAGCGAGTGGAAACATTGAGCCTGATCAGATTGTGAGACACGTTACTGCAGAGGTTCTATAGAGTTAGTTCAAACACGGGGCGGGGGGGCAACATAAAGGTAGTCGTGTCAGTTTAGTTGTGGACAAGAATTATTGCTCAGTGTCCGGTTGATGAAGGAAAAATTGCACAATTGCACAGAGGAGGAAAAAAAAAAAAAAAAAAAAATGTAAGTGCTATCTGAACGTTAAAACACAAAGTAAAGCTTGAGTTGTGTTAAGACGACGTAAATACGACATCAAGAAAAAGAGAAGATGTTGCTGATGGGTGAAAAAAAACAACCAAACATTTACCGGGATTAAAAAAAAGAAAAGATTTGAGGGTTTTATACGCTGGCTCTCGGACACGTCACACGTTATAACACAGAAAGAAAAACAGGCAAACAGGAAACAACAGTTTACAGTCCTGATCGCACGTATAAAAATTGGTATGAAAGTGAACAAACACACAGCATGGCATCGATTCTCAAAAAGTGGAAGGTAGCGGGGCGGGGGGGGGGGGGGCTGTTGGCTCATAACTCCTCACAATACATCAAAGTGGGAAGAATGTGTGTTAATACACATAAAGTATCTATATGTATTTAGTCGAATACAGAAAGGAACTGACAAATCGAAGCTTACGGTAGGAGTCAAACATGACAGCTATGACACCAGAATCATACAGGTGTGTGTTGGTTGAAAGGGGGGGGGGGGGGGGAAGAGGAGGAGTAGGAGGGGGCAGTGCCTCCAAAAAGAGACATATTGTCCTTCAAACTGGAGGGAAGGCTGAGGGTTTGGGGTGGAGTAAAAAGGGTGTGGTCGGGTTGTTTATATTTTTTGGGGGGTTGGGGGGCTCTCACAGGGGCCCGTGTCGGGACTCGTATTTAGCCACAATGTTCTTGCAGCGGCCGAGCTCCTTCCTTATCTCCGCCACCTCCATGCGGAGGGCGCCGTTCTCCTTCTCCAGGAAGCTGGCCCGGATGGCGATCTGGTTCTCCTTCAGCCGCCGGGCGTCGCGGGACCTCTTGGCCGCCACGTTGTTCTTTCTGCGCCGGACCCAGTACCGGTCGTCCTGAGGGGGGGGGGGGGGCAGAGGGGACGGGTCAGCACATACAACAAAACAGAGGGGTGTTTTAAATTAAAAAAAAAAAAAAAGAATAATACCAGAGTCTGATGCTCGGTCTAGAGGTCTAAGAATGATGAAGACCTCCAGCTGCTGGCCAAGAAATGAGGCTCTGCTAACCAGACGCTGTCACTTTAATCATTTCATTTATTTCTAGTTCTCCGACTGTGAAAACATGTTTTCTTTTCCTCACTTTCTGACTGCAACACATTAAATACACAAAGTGCTGCTGACATTTTAATATTCCTGAGATGTTTAACCATTTAAAATATGAATAATAAAGAAGGAGCGGGATTGACCAGCTGGACCACCTTAAATGAGCCTGAGGCTAATCCCCTGCAGGTGGCTGACAGGTGGAGCTCGTTGGGTTAATCATGGAGCTTCACTGCAGTGAAAACGTCACAGAACGGCTTCTAACGTTCTGTGACCCCCACCCCCCCACACAGAGCAGCCAGTCACCTTCAGGCCTTCGGGGATGAAGACCTTGCGGGCTTTCTTGATCATGGGCTGCGGCTTCAGCTCCTCGGCGGAGAACTTGCGTTTCCTGGGGTCGAACATCTCCTGTCCGGGCACGCTGGACAGAGCCAGGTCTTGCGGGTCGGGCTCGTAGGCCAGCGGCACCTGGATGGACTCCGGGTCGATGGGGCTGGGGGTGTCGCGGGCCGAGGGCGGTGCTGCAGGAAGAATAAAAACATGACACGTTAGCTGCCAGCAAACACAAATTTAACAGACGACGAATAAATTATTGATTTAATTTGTTTTCATTCAAAAAAAAAATAAAAAAATCAATTGGCATCAGTAGTTTAATGATGTATTATAAGTATTATTATAAGTTTAACAGGTCATTATTCCCTCTCTAATGTCTTTTATGTTCCCGTATAAACATCTGTACTGTTAGCTCCGTTATTCAGCCAAGCAGGACAGCTAACGTCAGGTGTTGTGTTTGTTCCTGTGTCGTGTACAAGAGCAGATAAATGAAATGATAACGCGATAAGGACAACGCTACCAGAAAGTGCACAGAACCGGGAAAAAAAAAAAAAAAAAAAAAAAAAAAAAAGAAAAGAAAAAAAAGGACAACTACCAAATGTGATTTCAACTGTAATGGCAAAAATAAATAAAAAAGGCCAGGGTGATTTCCTTTGGTGCGTCGGGGGGGGGGGGGTGGTGGGTCTGTGATGACGCAGGAGGAGCAGCAGGTGTGTAACCTGTAACCTGCAGAGAGCCTCAGCGCTGCCTCTCCTCAGAGCTCACATGTTCACAACCGGCACCAGAGGTAAACGCAACACACTTCTTTTTCTTAATCTGTGCATTTGGCCTCATCTGTCCAGCAGGTGGTGCCATCACACAAGCTTCAGGTTTTGTTTTTATTATCCTAAACTCTGCAGCTCCTGTCAGCTGATCTCAGTCTTTAAGACTCCTCATCTATCTGTTGTGTAAAGCCTCTCTAATTGATCTGAAGCCTGCCAGCTACAGGGGGACTCGGTTCATTATTCCCCATCACCATTACGTCTCTGCACGCTTTACATTAGCACTGATTTGTTTTGTGATTAAAAAAAACCTGCTCAATGATACAAAAAAGAGGCCGGATGTGCAGCACAGCAGGCTTTTCTTTAGCCGGCGTAATGCCGGCCGCTGGTACATCATGACCTACATCTCTGTGCTTTGGGACTGAGCCACGGCAGCCAGTCGATGCCGCCAACCTTCAGTCACACTGAACCATCAAACTGCGGTGGAGAGATTCTGAATAAAGAGACCATCAGATTCAGCTGCTCGGCTCTTATTGTACGTATCAGAAGCAAAACAGGAAGTGGATGAGGAGACGCCGTCCTACCCAGAGGAAGTGATGAGCTTCTTCATCACAACAAAAACCTCAACCGAGTGCAACACGGACGTCTACGTTCACAACATGGAAACAAGTTGAACACCGCAGGACTATTACAACGCATTACGGCCTCAGCTCACTATTCAGAAGCAGGGCAGCGTGAGGAGCAACTTTCTTTATTTTAGACCTAAATGACTTGTTTCACATTTGACTTGACTTGTGTTCCTACAAAAACACTCTAATCATTAACCAAGAAGTGCCAAACACAGAGTTCAGCTTAAGAAAAGAACTGGCAGCCTAAAAGTGTCGGGAACAATCTGCCATTTGTTTTCTGGATTAACTGATGACACGTTAAGTCTATGAAATGTCACAATTCCCCAAATGTATTGTTTTAGTCTAAAACACACAGATATGGAAACGTTAATAAGAAATGTTATTGATTCTTCTTCTGTCTGAAGCACTGAAGACAACAAGTATTCAGTGTAGACTTTGGATGCTTAATGATTTGATGCTCTGCACTAAGAACCAATAAGAGTTCATTATTGTCATTATAAAAAGGTAACTTTGGTATTTTTCAAAGTGGACCCTCTTCTGTCTATTTATAAAGTTGCTCCTGTATCCAGGTGGAAGAACACCAAAGTTAGAATGTGACCTAGCGACCTGCAGGTCACTCATGCAGGACTAGCTGATGTGACGAGACATTTCAGAGGAGTCACACATGAAGTATCGACCGACTGAAGTCTCTCACTGAGACACCTTTCCTCCACAAACACGCTGGATTGCACCACCAGACGCCCTTTGACTCCTCCCACATCTGACGACCTGCAGGCCGCTCAGACCGATAAACTCCCGCAGGTTTGTGTGTGTGTGTGTGTGTGTGTGTGTGTGTGTGTGTGTGTGTGTGTGTGTGTGTGGTTCTCATAACAATGTTATCGGCCGCCTGCTGTGTTGCCTGCAAGCAGAGCACATTGGGGTTGTGGTGGTTGTTGTTGTGGGCGGCGGCCTCAGACGAGACGAGGCTCGGCCGAGCTGGAACAATATTGTGCCCACGTGACACAAGCACACCAGAGCCCATGTGATCCCTCAGCAGGGTACAGCCTGTGCTCTGGCTCAGAGTCCTCCTGGGCCGGCATCGGAGCCGAGCACCGCGGCGAGAAGGGAGGGAGAGGAAGTGGAGAGTGTTAAGAGGGGCGGGGAGGGTGAAAGTGAGGAGGGAGGTTCATGCCGTGACAAAGCTCCCGTCTGCAGCTCAGCGCTGCTGCACACGGCGTCTCCATGTGTCAGTCACATGGCCCGGCACGCTGCAGGAAACCCCATCCGTGTTCACGTGAGAAGGAAGGAAACACACACACACTTTTTTATTTTACCTGTTTAATCAGTTAATTATTTGCTATTTAAACCTCTGTAAAAACTCTTTGGTGAACTATTCTCTAAGAATTAATCTAATTAATTACAGTCCGAGTTGAATATTCTGCTTTTCTGGACTGACTGGTTATTGTAGCTTTTATTTTAATTTTTTGATACAATAATACTGAGTTTAATAAGGTGATTAATTTCCCTATTATAAGACTTGATGTGATATGATGCATTATTTATAAGACAACACACAGAGAGGAAGCGTTTGCGTGGCTGCAAAACAATCACTCCAACATCTGGCACAACTGGTCCCACCATGGCTGCTACGACGGGATCAATGAGCACACACGTCCTGTATTAAGTGGTTCAGAAGCTGTTGCTCGGGTCCAAATCGCTCCTTTAAAAGTAGACGAGATGGCGATCAGTCACTCGCGAGTCTGTAATCGTCAGCCGGATCGATACACCACCGTACGGACGGTTTAATCTGCATCGAGCCGACTCGTCGCTTGTGTGATTTGAATGTGTGACTCATCGGTCCGTTCACGCACGATTAGGCACTCCTCAGTGGAGCGGCACGTGTTGCTTTTCATCAGGACTCCGCCTCGTCAGCGTTTACAGGTAACACACGCACACTTGCAGTATCACACACACCATCGCCCTCCAAACACTCGGCCTGTTTATCCGCCTCTTCTTCCACCAGGAGCCGTTTCTCGTGTTACGTTTGGATTTTAAAGCCTTGGGTTGATGTTCACAGCGACAGAGGGTCGGCCTTTAAATGACTCCGATTGTTCTGGCAGCAGATTCACAAACTCACTTTTAAAACGCTTCAGTCTAAATACCAACTGCCTACTGAAGGTCAGCTCATCTACAACCACGAGACTTTCCATTACCAATAAGCTCCATTTGATCAGCACTGAAACGCTGCAACTCATTTGTAATGAAATGAATATCAGATTCTAGGCTCATAACACTGCCTGTCTCACAATTTAATATTTCAATGACTCCACAGAGCAGCGCTGTCCTTGAACCCGTTAGTCATCTCATCGTCATGTACAACTGAGTTTCTCCACAAACCATCACTCAGAAGCACCGCTTTAAATCAGAGGTTTGCTCAATAAGTTCTTGGAAATAAGTTGATCTCATTCAAAAAAAGCCTAAAAATAACTCGGAGTGGAGTAAAACAACAGATTAGTTGCCAAAAAAAATCCAAAGAAAATTCAGGAATCTCATGGAGTCGACACTCAGGACAAATGAAGTTAAAAAAATAATATGTGCAATAATTTATGAATCACATTTCTGACAAACCCAAGCAGATTTTCACCAGTTATTATCATCACACCCTCCAGCGAACTCTTGGGAATGTAAGTGAATATCAAAACCACCTCTTAAAAAAACATTACTACACACCTTTAAAAACCACAGCACGAACACATGAAGTGTGACTCATGGCAGCAGAGACTTCTCTGCCAATCACAGCTTGATTTAAGACCGCGCTGCATTCTTGGACTTGAGCCCCGTTTAGGCGCCACTCTGGGACTCCAACGTCCAGTTCAGGGGCCGTAAAACAGAGCCGGTGTTTATCTATCTCTGACTAGGGGAGAAGCTGAAACAGCAGGATTTAATTGAGAAACAGATCTAGAGGCGATGCCTTCAGGGACACAAAACCACAAGAACCTGTTCTAGCTTTGCATCTCTGGGCTGGCAGTTTCCTAGAACAGTGGAGGGTGCGTGCGTGCGTGCCTGCGTAAAGAGCATCGCAGCCCTCTTGGAGCCTGAACCAGCATGTGAAGCCGCTGGTTCCTGGCGTACAGCTTTTGCTTTCAGGTGCCGCCGCGCGTGGTTCCTACCTGCTGTGCCGGGGCTGCAGAGGCAGGCCTGAGGCGCCATGCCCGTGTGAACCGAGGTGGTGGCGCGGCTGCTGAGGTCCACCACCGTGGGCGTGGTGGGCGTGGCCGGCGGCCCTTGCGGGGCCTGTGCGCCCTGGGCCGTGTTGGCGGGGATGCCGTTCTCCGACAGGAACTCCTCCAGGTCCATGTACTCCAGCTGGAAGTTGTCCCCGTCGTAGGGCAGCGTTTTGTCCCACAGGGTCGGCCCGAGGAAGGCCGACTGCGGGTGGCTCCTCTCATCGTCCAGCTTCTTCTCTTTCTCCTGGTCTTTCCCAAATCCTGCGAAATGTTTGTGCACAAAGTCAGTTCATTGTCTCACAGCAGAGCAGGGTCACAAGTCAGTGCACTGGTATGAATAGTATTTACTGGGTTTCAAAAAGGTTCGTTTGTTTAAACTACTTTGAAACACATACAACCCAAAACTACCTGCATGATTAATTGAGAAAATGTTTTCAACACTCAACAACACAGTGTGTGGAATGAACAGAAACTACGCCCTCTATCGACAGCTTGTGGTACCACTAATATAAATCACACTTTAGAAGAGAGAGGGTTTAAAAGGTTACAGACGCACCTGCAAGCTTAAAAAAATAAAAAAGCGCAGTCACAATAAAAACACGCGCAAATTAGTCCTTATTGTGCATATATAGATAATAAGTAGAAGCTAAACGTGCTTGTTTGTCTGAAGTGAAGTTGATGTCAACAAAAAATATTCAGCAGAGTCGATCATCTTTGTTTTATCTTTGCTGCTTAATAAACTAATAAAGAATACATTGTTTCTTTTTCGACAAAGATCGAACGTCACTCGACGTCATTTAGTTGATCTGTGTCCTTTAAACTGCAACAACGTCTGTCTGCAGAATTCAAATAAACACACAGAGTGAAGTTTAGCCGGTTTAAATGAAGATAAACGAACCTTCATCGTGATGGAACGGCAGCTTCAGAGGGTTCTCCAGCAGCGACTTCAGCACGCCGTGCGTCGGCGGCACCAAACTTGGGTTTATCGGAAGAGGTCTGGCCATTTTCTCCATTTCGTCTTTGAAGGGCAAGTTGGAGAACGCAGAATTAATATTTGTCTCCCCCCCGAAAAACAAAAAAAGAGAGGCGACCGTACTCGCTATCCTGGGAACTCCAGAGGATACTCCAGATCGGGGATGAAGAAAAAACGCACGAGCTTCGGAGGTGAGAAGAGACGGGAGTCCGCGCGACAGCAGGACGGAGAGCGGCTGGCTGCCTGCAGACGGAGCTGGCTGACAAATAGCTGGAGGAGAGAAAAGGGGGCGGAGCTACACTTCTCCATCCATGTGCGGAGACTGACGCAGGTGACGTCAAAGCAGCGGGAGGGCGCGTTCATATCACGTGGGGGAAAAAAAGAAAGTCTTTTCAGTCTTTGTGTTTTTTATGATTATTGTAACCGTTTTAATTCATTGTGTAGTTGTGTTGTTTGTGTTTTGCTGTTGTTGTCATGTCTCTCTGGTAAAAGAGATCTTAATATTTATGAGACTGCCTGATTCAATAAAGATCAATAAAAAGAATAAGAATAATAGATATATATATATTTTTTTTTATTGTACAACACAGATACACCTTTTTGTACAGTTGTCTTTCATTGTCTATAATTAACATAACTTGTGTTCAATAAAGTGACTACAAACTATAGAAATTCGTGGAATATCTACGAATTATAAACGCAGGTTTATCGCATTAGCTTCACGTTTCAGACCCGGAGGTTTCCTTCTGCTACGGACTAAATGCAACACAACGGACCAGGAGATGGGGTCGGATAGTCACAAAGTGCCCACAGTCATTTGTTTTCCCTCTTAAATCCTGGATATTCCCTTAATGTACACGTTTGCATTAATCCAACCGTTTTTACTTAGAAATGCTACTTTTGACGTTAGCTGCTAACTAGAATATATACATGGGTAAATATCTTGTTTTAAACTTCCAGATTTACTTTTCATTTGTGAAATATTTTGTGGTTTTATGGCCCGTTTCAAACCTCACGACTGACAGAGTAGTTTACAACCGCTTCCACTTAACACCCATCAATCATAAATACTGGCCTGCCTTAAACGGCTGGTGTAGTCTATTAATAAGTCTTTCATGTTTAAATTGCTCTGATGTAATTCAGAAAACATTTCAGAAAACTTGTAATCCAAAAAACTATCATCTTAATGTCAGTAGTCAACTGGGGACGTTTCATGTTGATATCTATTAGTTACATTTGTCCCCCTATTCACCTGACAGGAAATGTTATGAACAAAACATAAAACCAACTATAAACACAAAAAACAATACAAAACATATTTGTATTCAAAGTCATTCAGTGTCCTTTAATAAAGCTGCTTCCTGTTGCTCCAGTGACACACATTAGATCCCTGACTGGTACAGTTTCTCCTCCCAGACGTGACATTTTCTTACACTCAGATATCCCCAATTTCAAAGTGACTGTTGGTGCACGGTACGTTGTGTTTAGGTCTTTTATTTATAATATATTTTTTTACAATCATGACTAAATAAGCTTGTCGTTGCTGCTGCATTCGTCTGTGAATCGGAGCAACGAGGGCAGGATCCTCTGCAGCGCCACAGCAAAGAATGACGTGAATCTAAACTTGACCTACTTTCAGCCAATGGGTGTTTGCAGACCGCAACTCTATCTGTGTGGCTCGTTGCACACGGAAACTCATGCTTTCTAGTGTAGTAGTTGCTGAGTCATAGTTGAAAAGAAGAAGCCTGGCTGCGCTCTGCTCGGTCTGTATCATCAGCACCACTTCTTTTCCACAAAAACACAAAAGACAGGAATGACAAGCTAATTGCATTAAGGAGTATAAGACAAAAGCTTCCTGAAAGGAGCCGATTGTGCAGACGAGAGCGGGACCGATCCGTTCATCTAAACAACTGCAGGCCTCACGTCCACTAAGATGTCACGCCATATCAAATTAAGACCACCACACCAAATCAAGTCTGTTTCTTTCTTCTTCTTTGGTATCACAAGAAGTTTAAGTTCTAAAACCCTGCTGGATGAAAATGTCCCTTTGTCCTCTGAAATCCTACCAGGTCAGACAATGACTACATCTGAATCTGCCCTTTTAAGATGTGACTCTCAATGTGACTCTCTCTCATCAGTTGGTTTTAATTTCAGGCCACAATTAAGTTTTAAGACTACAGTTTCCGTGACGCCGTGGGGGGGATGTCAACACAAAGTATAATGTTGCCTCAGATTCAGTGCGTCAACGCTGTTGGCTACATCAGTAGCCCCATTTATTTACTTTATTTCATGTTAACATTCTGGCATTAAAAGTATTTATTTATTAGCAGCACCAATAGATGTACAGACAACTCTCACTGGATTACTGTGACACAGAAGAAAACTTAAAAACATGAAGAATCTCCAGCAGGTTCTGCCGTCAAGACGAAAGGCTCGACTTTAGGGGATATTTGTGAACTCCCAACAAATGTCTAATAATCTGTTGTGCACTGATTCACCCGTGGAAGCTTTTCTCATGGTCTGAACTTTATAGCCAATAAGGTTTAATCTTAAAGTGATGATATGTTTAAAGGGGCAGTGTGTAGCATTTTCCCCGTGTGTCAAGTGTGAAGGAGCTCTGAAGTTTGCCAGTATTACGTTTGTCCATTCTGGGCTACCGTAGAAACATGGCGGACTCCGTGAAGAGGACCCATGTAGATATAAATGGGTCATTCTAAGGTAACAAAAACACAAAACAATTCATATTTTCCGGTGATTATACACTAAAACAAACTTATCCATATCAAATTCTATTTCTGCCAATAGATCCCCTAAATGCACTGTACCTTTAAGACTAGCTTTTCAATCAATATTACCTCAGCTGCTACTAAACATCACAGATTACACTTCACACATTTTTCAGTTAATTAAATACGAATATTTGGCAAAAAAAAAAAAGTGAGAGTGAAGAAGCAAATCTAATGACGTCTGGTATGAACACTGAGCAGATGTATATTTTTAAAAGCACAAAGCAGTGTTTTTATCTGCAACAACAGACGCTGAAATTATTTTTTCTTAAAGACAGATAAGTGATTTAGTGCTGTAAGGAGGCCAAAGGTTAAAGGTCGAGGTATCGGTGGTCACCTGCTGTCAGCTGCTGTCAGCTGCAGGTGACCAGCGGAGTTCTTTGTTAAAGCGCTCCTCTGCCTCACTGTGAGGTCATGTGTTGTTTTTAGTTGTTTTTTTAGTATGTGCAAGAATCACAGATATTTTCCGACTGTGAGAAACATCTGCAGACGGGCATTTGTGACGTGTAAGCCGAACAAAACGTGTGTTGTATGAAAGCGGTCAGCTGAACGGAGCAGCGTGGCCCCGAATCACTGCATGAAAGTTAGTCAAGGGACACAAAAAGAACAAATTCAGAGCTTCTCCGCCCGATGAAAATGTGATTTATAAAACTGTTACAGCGAACTACAAAGACTTGTGTGCGGAAGCAGAGGGGGTGCCGGCTGGTGCTCAGTGTCAGGGTTCGACGGCAACATTTCTATTATGCGTCCTCCTCAGTTGCTTTCCATGAAGTTTCTTACATTTCTTCCCCATTAAAGGGTATTTTTTCCTAATCCAATGCAAACGTCTGAGGACAGAGGGTGTGGTGCTGCTGTACAGATTGTAAAGCCCCCTGATGCACATTTGAGATCTAAATCAAATTGACCTGAAATGATGTTTGCAGTGCAGATGAAGTCCTTTCAAGTTGAGATAAAAAAGCAGTTGTAAGAATGTCCTTGCATGATAAATTAAGTTGTTTATGTTCATATTTATCTTCAGTGAATAAGGTGGAAGGTTCTGATGTATTCTAACTTTTATGATGTTTTGCAGGAGTTTTCTTTAAATGCATGAACAATGTTTCGGGGCAACACTTGATTTACAGAACGGAAACATTCTGTGTCAACTTTGTGTCTTAAGAAGTGTTTTAAGAGAAATAGACTTCAGCCTAAATGCACAGGGCGGAGCATCGATCAGGACCCTTACAGTGATGCTTCATTTGACCCTTTTTCTCTCCTTCATTTGATACCAATCATGTGAATGGAAGCTGAGTAAAATGCCCTCAGCACCAATTATTATTAACTGAAGCCACAGGCGTGTGGCAGAGCCATACTTTTTCATAACTACTACTATTAATGAAAATGACAAAAAAAATGTGTCCTCTATGCAAAAATGAGTCAGCCTCTCTGCTCTGTCCCGTGAGTGACGTGTTTTGGTTTCATATAATCATGTATGGTATTAATAATGGGGGTTTGGTTAATGGGAGGGGGTGTTACCTGTTGTTGTCCCTGTGCTCTCCATGCAGGTGTCACCTTTGTTCCTGCCGAGCAGCTGCAGCCGGTGAGTGAACGTGGCTGGGCTCAATTCCCGATTAGTGCCACGGGGGTTAAAAGGTGTGTGTGTGTGTGTGTGTGTGTGTGTGTGTGTGTGCGTGCGTGTGTGCGTGCGTGTGTGTGTGTGTGTGTGTGTGTGTGTGTTGCCTCTGTTGCCTCTGTTGCCTCTGTTCAAGCCGTGTGTTGTTTGTTTGTTAGCCCGACCCATTCGTGTGTACACTACTGTAGTCTTTTGAGTTCGATCATCACTGCTGTTAACTGGTGTCGCTTTCTTGTTTCAAGAAAGTAGTTTTCAGTTGCCTTGTGAGCATTTCATCTTTTTGTTAATACATCTCTTTTGTTAAGACATCTGTTGCCCATGACTCTCTCTTCCTGGGTATTTTCATATTGTCACTCCCCTCATCCCTTAGACCTCAAAAGAGGAACGTAACAACCCAGAGAGAGACACATTTGTAGAAACTGTTACAGAGCTGGAAGCACACTTTTGACTCATAGGTCACTGTATGTCGTTGCTTTAGGACTTCCCTTCTTTGGAACCCAAACTAGGGATGCACCGATCAGATCTGTTTCAGTCCCAATACCGAACACCGATCTGTTACCGATACTAATGTAATGAGTACCGATTACCGATGCCAATATATTAAATATCGATATCTGAGCGTCCCTAGCTCAAAAATGACATTTGTCTCTCTTTGACTTTATGAAAGACGAGGTTCTACCCTCGGTTGCTCTTTACCAATATGAAAATCAAATAAACAATTACGACGGAGTGAGAAATAAAAACAAGCAAAGCAGAACCCCGACCTGATGACAAACGGGTCGAACAATGTCAGACGTAAGAAACAGAAGGTGGTGGGGGGGTGGGGGGGTACAAATAAGCTTGATGAAATAATCCAGAAGCACGGAGGCTTTAAGC